TTCAGTACATATTTAATGACTGAAGGGAAGGCGATGAGAACATCTGAGGAAATGACTGGGCACGTGTGATGTGTAAGGTATGATACTCAGTATGATGTGCAGAGGATATAAGGATGTGCAGTCACCCTTCACAAGCTTCAATGGCATCTAATTTAAATGCCAGGAGCCACAAAACACCTTTTAAAATTTCTAGTAAGATTAAAATTGGATTCATTATATATCATAAAACAAAAAACACACAGTTAACTTTCAGCTTTTTATTTTATTTCGGAAGGCTGGACAATGCACTTGTACTCTTGAACCTCTTCTAACATGTGAAAGGCCACTTTTATATATATATATGAGAAAAGGTCATGATTGTCAAAAAAGAAGCATGAATCCCCAAATAAATTATCTTACAAAAATATCACACTTGCTTTTCCACTTTTCTACTACTGTAAAAATGGGGGAAAAATTCACATTAAAAATTACCTGTATGCTGGTATAGCAAGTTAAGACCACCATCTTTTACATATTAAGTCAAATAAATATTTTACACAAATTTAAGTTTAAAAAAATAGGTCAATACAAGGAGACCCTGTCTCAAAAAGACCGAAAAAAAAAAAAGGTCAAGTATTTTACTCAATATTTCTTTGGTCCACTAAACGACCACTTCTCAAGCTGACGTTGCACTGAACTGTAACTCCTGCCACAGCAGCAGTGCAGGGCTGCAGCAGGACGCACACGGGGCAGGCCACGTGTGTGTGAAATGGCTAACACTGCTGTGTGCTGCTTCCCTGGGCAGCTTCACCTAGAGTCACACAAGTCTTCTGCCCCATCTTGACTTAAGCTTGCAAGGAAAGAGCAAAGGATAGTAATACTTGGTTATTATAAACACCTGCTCAGGCACTGTAAAAAACTGCAAAAATCATGAAGCTTTTCAGACCTAACAATTATTGAAGATGGGATTAAAGTCAACACTGCTGACCTGTCCCGGAGCTGCCAGCATGCTCACTTGGAGGACACCCAAGCAAACGCAGTAGAGAACTAGGGCTTCTGGCTTCTGTCTGCTATTTCAGTCTGAAGTTTTACATGGCTTTGATCTTGATGAAGAGTTAGTAAAATAATATGATGTTTCTCTGTTCTAGCAACCAATTTTAGGAAGAAAAATAGAAAAGCATGGAGTTTTTACATCTTCCCAAAGTTTCAAAGCTAATTTGATTTTTATTGAACTATAAGATTTATGATAAAACAACACTGACTGAATTTTGCTTTTGTCCACCCCATTCTCTGTTCCATATGATGAACCCAGCAATACTTTCCATTTCCAGTAGCCTAAGAGATGAGCTCACCTTTCTGAAGGCAATGACAACTAAACCAGGCTGAGGACAGTATGTGTAAATCCTCAATCCAAAGCCAAGCACTCAAACTCTAAAACACTAACACCTTCCACCCAGGGTGGAAAAATGAGCACCCAAAGTAAAGAGAGCCACATGGCTGGTCAAGCAACCAATCAAAAACCACCTCTCTGTTATTCGAGCTGATGGTCACTCGGAGCTTGAAGTTTCCGACTTCGTTATTATTTGTGGCTCCTAGAGTCACAGCTTCTATGTCAAACGTGATGGTGGATCCAGAGGTAACTGCAGGCAACTGATTAGTCATTTCTTTTCCATTGACAAAAACTGCACCTGAAATGTTAAAGAGTCATTGACCTGTGAGCCATACTGTGCGAGACTTAAACTGCTTCTAGGTTACTGGTAAAAGGCTGCTTCCTAATTCAGAAAAAGACAGTATTTCAGAATGCTAAATGGATATTAATGATAGATTTAAATAGTTAATTAACCCCGCCCCCACTGCAGGGGCCAAAGTTAGAGCTTTAATCACTGTTTCAAATTCTGGTATGGAGTTGAATTCTTCCAGTAGAGACTAAGTCTCCTGTGTGAATTGCATCAAAGACAAAACAAAACAAAAAACTGACATTACAAAAATCAGACTATGAAACAGCAAGAGTCTTTCAGATAAGTAAAGAAGACTAGTGTTCTATGTACTGTTTGGTCCTAGGCCACCAAAGATTAAGTGCTGACCCAGGAGTGATTTTTCCCCCCAGAGACAAGACCCTATACAGCCCAGGTTGGCCTCAGACTTACTCTGAAGCAGGGGATAATCTTGAACTCCTGATCCTATTTCAACCTTCCAAGTGCTGGGACTATAGATGTGTGCCACCATGCCTGGGCTTTAGTGGTGATTTTGAAAGTCTAATAACTGTGAAGTAAGGGACCAAAAAGTACTAGGGACACATAAAAAATTATCTTTTTCCACAGTTCCCCAATTTACAAGACAAGTGCACTAAAATTAAAAAAAATTTTTTTTTTAATTTTATGTGTGGGGCTGGAGAGATGGCTCAGTGGTTAAGAGCACTGACTGCTCTTGCAGAGGACTTGGGTTCGATTCCCAGCACCTACATAGTGGCTACGAACCATCCTTAACTCCAGTTCTAAGGGACTCCGAAGCCCTCTTCTGACCTCCGCAACATTGCGTGACACGGGTGCAGGCAATACACTCATACACATAAAATAAAAATAATAAAATATTTTTTAAAAATTTATGTGTATGAGTGTTTTGCATAAGTGTATACAAGTGTACCTGTTTATGCAATGCCTGTGGAGGCCAGAAGAAGGCACCAGATCTCCTGGAACTGGAATTATGCACAGTAGTTAATTGGTATGTGGGTGCTGGGAACTGAAGCAGGGTCCTCTGCAAGAGCAGTCAGTGCTCTTAACCCCTGAACCAGCTCTCTAGGCTCAAGTGCACTGAATTTAAATGAGTCACGCACACAGAATCAAAAGGCAGACTGCCTGGTTCAAGTCCTAGCTCAGTCACTTCCAAGCTCTGAGCTTAAGCTAGTATGCTTAACTTCTTTGGGCCCTTACTTTTCATCATCTATAAAATAGGTATAAGATTATGCCCCACCTAAGTACTTAGAAGGGCTAGGAATATAGTGCAGTGGTAGAACACTTGCCTAGCATATTAGAGGCCTTGGGGTCAGTTGTAGGTCCCACAAAAAATATTGAAAAAAATTTTTTTTAAGTAACTAGAACGATCTCTGTAAGATCAGAGCCAGTCAGCAGCACATAACAAGTTCCAGGCCAGCTGCGGTTACAAAGAGATCCTGTCTTAAACACAGACACAGACACAGACACAGACACAGACACAGACACACACACACACACACACACGCGCCAGAAAACAGCACTCAGTAAAGGCTAGGGAGTGTAGCTCAGTGATACCACGCTTGTTCCAGTACTGCAATAAGATCAAAGACCTGAATCTTCTCATCTTTAAAAATGAGTGATAATAGGACAGATTCACACTTTACTAAAGTAACTAACACCGTTCAAGGACACAGTTATTTGTGATGCAATTATTTATGTCTTACCATTTGTACTGATGCACACAGCTTGATCCCGCTGCAGCGAGTCAAAGCCAGTCTGTGTCTCTGCACATACTCCTATACTGTCTCTTCTGTCTGGCTGTCCCACAGTTTCAACTCTATAAACAAATTAGCAAGGTCATTTCACATCTCTATATAAAAAGATAGGTGCATTCCTTTAATCCAAGCAGAGGGCAGGCAGACCTCTGTGAGTTCCAGGCCAGCTTAGTCTCTACAGTGAGTTCCACACCAGCCGGGGCTACTTAGTGAGACCCTATCTCAAAAAACAAACAAACAGGGCTAGGCCTGGTGGTGCATGCCTTTAATCCCAGCACTTGGGAGGCAGAGGCAAGTGGATCTCTGTGAGTTGGAAGCCAGCCTGGTCTACATAGTGAGTTCCAGGCCAGCTGGGGCTACAGGGAGACCCTGTATCAAAAAGACCAAAAAACAATCGAACAAACAAACATCTGGGTGTGGTGGCACACGCCTTTAATCCCAGAAGCAGATGGACCTCTCTGTGAGTTGGGAGGCCAGCCTGATCTACACAGCAAGTTCCAGGTCTGCTAGGGCTACAGGGAGACCCTGCCTCAAAAAGACCAAACAAACAAACAAAAATATAGATGGTTCCCAGAATCCATGTCCAGAGGCTCACAGCTACCTGTAACTCTAGCTACAGGGACTATGATGCCTTCTTCTGGCCTCCCTGGGTACCTATACACATACAGCAGAAACAGAGACACACATATATATATATAAACATAAATAAAAAAATAAAGTTTCAAAAATGATACCTAACAGCTACTAGCATAAAAAGATTGATTTTATCCCAACTGTTCTCTTTTCTTTTCTTTTTTTTTTTTTTTTTTTTTTTTTTTGTCTTTTTGAGACAGGGTCTCCCTGTAGCCCCAACTGTCCTGGAACTCACTATGTAGACCAGGCTGGCTTCCAACTCACAGAGATCTGCCTGCCTCTGCCTCCCAAGTGCTGGGACTAAAGGTGTGCACCACCATGCCTGGCTCCTCTTTTCTAAATAATAGTTAATGACTGATAACATTATATCCCATACAATTTTAAATGCATGGTAGACTCATGTGTTGCTTAACAATATTCCAGTCACTGAGTGATGGCTAATCTTCATCGTCAACTTGAGTGGATTTGGAATCACCTAGGAGACACACCTCTGGCCATGTCTGTGAGGACAGTTCTGAAGACACTTATATGACAAAGGAAGATCAAATCTATACATGGGCAGCAGCATCCCATGAGTTCAGGCCCTAAACTGACTAAAAAGGGAAAAAGAGAGAGAGAGAAAGCCTGAGAATGCCAGTGCTTCCTGCTCACTGCCTCTTAGTGTCCCAGACAAGCTCTCCTACCACCAGGAACTCTGTCATACCTTCCTCTATGATGGACTTTCTCTCCTCAAACTGTGAGCCAAAATAAATCCTTCCTCCTGTAAGTTGCTTTTTTGTCAGGTACTGGTCCCCGCAGTGAGAAATGTAATACAGTGACAGCCTACATATTTGATGGTCCCATAGATTTATAATGGAGCTGAGAAATTCCTTTTGCTTTTGCTTAGTACTTTTATCCTTTCTATGAACAGGTACACAAATACTCATCACTGTGTTATAACTCCCTACAGCAGGTAGTACAGTGACATGTGCATTTGTAACTCCAGTTCTAGGGGATCCGACAGCCTCTTCTGTCTTCTACAGGCACTGCACGACACAGGTGCACTTACCTACATGCAGGCATAACACTCATATAAAATAAAAATTAATAAAAATATTTTTTAAAAAAAGAAAAATGATTTTAAGAAAGAATACATAGGGAACAGCCTATGAATGAATCCTTTACCTAATCAGGAAGGAATACTTATCATATATGAATTATCCCAAGGCAGGAATGTCCTGCATCTTCAAGTAATCTTCCCTCTGCAAACAAACTAAAAGCCAGGCAGAAATCTACGGGACAACCCCCTGCTTATCTCACCCAAGACATAATAGAGTCTGTGGGGAAAACTCCTCTGGGTGACATGACTGTAATAAGAGCCCGCTTCACCAACCTGTTGCTACACCTCTAGGGGGATCTCAGTAGCAAACATCAAGAGTCCCTAGCCTCCAGTTGCACTCCCCTGGGACTATGCTTTGTCTCTCCACACAGCATAAGGAGGAGCAGACAAGATTCAAAGAGCCTAGTTGAAAACAAATTAAGCTCGTTTTTGTTTTGTCTTGAGATAAGGTCTCAGTTATGTAGCCTAAATTCACTTTGAGTTTATGATCCTCCTGCCTCAGCCTCTCCAGTGCTGAGATTATAGCATGTGCTGTGCCTACCTCAAAAATTAACTTCTTTTGAAAATATACATAAACTGTGGTAGCACTTGCTTTTAGTCCCAGCACTCAGGAGGGAGAGACAGGTGGAGCTCTGTGAGATCAAAGTCAGCCTGGTCTACAAAGTAAGTTCCAGGCTGGCTGGGGCTACAGGGAGACCCTGTGTCAAAAAACCAATAAATAAATAATTAATTAATAAAATTTTTTATTTATTCTTTGAGAATTTCATATAAGTATACAATATATTCTAAACATATTTGTTCCCCTTCTCCCTTCCAGCTCCTCCTAGACAATCCCACCAACATGTTACCCCTCTTCTTCTTTTTTCTTTTTGATTTATTATTTATTTTTTTCTTTTTTGGTCTTTTTGAGTCTGGGTCTCCCTGTAGCCCCAGCTGGCCTGGAACTCACTTTGTAGACCAGGCTGGCCTGGAACTCACACAGATCCGCCTGCTTTTGCCTCCCAAGTGCTGGGATTAAAGGCATGTGCCACCACACCCGGCAATTTACTTATTTTTATTTTATGTATATGAGTATATTGTCTTTATGTGTGTACATGTACCCATGTCATGCAGTGCCTGAGGACAGGACAGAGAGGGCATCAGATCCCCTGGAACTTTAGTCATAGATGGTTGTTAGCCACCATGTGGGTGCTGGGAATTGAACCCAGGTCTTCTGGAAAAACAGCCACCACTCTTAACCACTGAGCCATCTCTCCAGCCCCAACCCTCTTCTTTTCTTAAAAAAAAAGAAAAACCCATCAGGCGTGGTCACACCTTTTTTTTTTTGTCTTTTTGAGACAGGGTCTCCCTGTAGCCCCAGCTGTCCTGGAACTCGCTATGTAGACCAGGCTGGCCTTGAACTCACAGATGTCTGCCTGCCTCTGCCTCCTGAGTGCTGGGATTAAAGGCGTGCGCCACCATGCCCAGCTGATGGTGTAGACCTTTAATCACAGCATGCAAGAGACAGAGGCAGTAGTTAGAGCACTGGCTGCTCTTGCAGAGGACACAAGTTCAGTTCTCAGTACCCACATGGCAGCTAATAATCGTCTGTAACTAATTCCAAGGGATCCAACGCCCTCTTCTGACCTCTGTGGGCAGTGTACAACATAGGTGCACTTATATACATGCAGACAATGCATTCATACACACACAAAAATAAAAATAAATTTTTTTTAAAAAAAGCAAGGAAAGAAAACAGGAAAGTTGAGGCAGGAAATGGAAAAGGCCTGAAAGGAGAGAGGCTGTCAACAGATGTAGGCAACAAAGCAGAATGGCTCTAGATGAGATTCATCCAGGAGCACAAGTTTCACTGCCCTCCAAGGCTCTACCAGGCACGTCGACCCCGTTCCCATGGACCACATGCAGTTGAAGATGGCTATGAATGTGGCCCAACACAAAATTTTAAACTTACTTAAAATACTGTGATGGTTGTTTGCGATTTCCACCCCGTAACGGAATTGCTCAGTTCTTGAGCATGAACTTTGTAGATGACAAAGCCATGTTGTAATGTCAAAAAACTGGACACATCTGCAAGCCTTCCAGAAACCTAAGCAGTGACAAACTGGCTAAATAACAGAGCAGTGGCTGCCAGAGTATAGCACTTTCTAAGGAGTGGGCTCTTAAAAGTTTACCTTTATTCAAGTAGGCCCCTTTGCCTTCCCACTCACATCTTCTGATTTAACTGTTGCTGCCTTTAGGGAATGGGAGAAAATACTCTCAACTCCACATTCAGGAGAAAAAAAAATGACAAAAATGTAAAGTCTGGCTAAGAAAAGGCTGAGCTTAACTGAGTTTCAGGTAATCTCCCTTGACAAGCAGGGCCAGTGAGACTTCTTTCAGAGAGGCCTACTGTCAGCCACAGTCTGCAGACATAAGCAGTGGGATTATATCGACCTACATCATTTCCAATGCCTACATGTTGAATGATTGGGAAAAAAATAACTAAGCCATCAATCAAATGTTTCTCCACACGCACAGAGAAAGAATTTAAAAATAGGACAGCATTAAGATCAAGCAGTAGGAATAGGATAAGTCACAAAAATGGAAAAGAGGGGTGGGTGGCTCAGAGCAAGCCTAAAGTACAACTACAATACCATCAATACAAAAAAGGGCTAAGGAGGCAGCAGTAAGATTTTTAGATCTCAAAATGATGAGAGTCATACTTAGTTCTTCATGAAAGAGACACAGGAAATGCAATAATGACAAAGGGTTAAGAACACAAATTCTGCTTGGTACAGTGCCTATAATCCCAACACTTAAAACAGAAGGATCATCCAAGAGGTTAAGATCACAGACTCCTGGATTTCAATTCTTGTTTTAGAAGGCAGATAACCTTGGGTAAGTAACCTAAGAAAATGGTCCACTACACTTATTAGGTTATTATAAGACTAAAATAAAGACTTGGTATATAGTCGGTTGACAGAGTGCTTGCCTTGCATTCACAGAGCCCTGGGTTCAATCCTCAGCACTGCATAAACCAGGGCAGTATTGGACATCAGTTATCCCCATAGAGGCAAAAAGGGGCAGGAAGATTAGGAGTTCAAGGTCATCCTCAGCTACATAACCAATTTAAGCCCAGCCCAGGCTACATGAAACACTGTAGAATAAAACATGGTGCAGAATAAGTAGTGTTCACATATCAGCTGCAATTACTTATTTATCATTATTCTTATCTGAGCTATCTGGCCTGAATCTACCAAGTCCAGAAGCTCTGTTGATACACAGAACTTTACTTTCAGGAGTTTCACCATACAGCCCCACCTGGCCCAGAACTCAGAGATACCTGCCAGTCT